TCTGGGGTTACGGTCCCTCCTCTGAAGGCTTGTGAACACGGAGAAGGGGAGGTTCAGAGCCCACATCTCATGTAGGTGTGCTTCCTGAGGGGATTGCTCCTCTAAGGGGGGGCACAGATGGAAATGGGCTGGAGCCTGTGGCACAGGGATGCAATATTCACGAGAGGAGGAGAGCAGCTCGCCTGGGTCGATAGGGTAATCTTAAAAAAAATCATTTTTTTAATGATTGCGCTGGATGGCTTCCAGCAGGTTAATTACCCCCAATCTCTGTCCACCGGAGCGTGGCAGCATTAAGCCAGCACGGGGGAGTCAGAAAGAGGGGGTGCACGGGAGGGGAAGCTGCCCTAGCTGGGGTCATTCACCTGATCAAACAAAAATGGGAGAGGGAATTTTAGAAATGCCTGAACTTTGTTCCGTGTGTGCTAATTGAGCTATCAGGAGCCGGTAATGGTGGTTAATAAGAGGTGAAGCAGATGCATCCACCTGTTTAGCTGGAGGCAGCCACAGCTCTTGTTCACCCACCCGCCCGGGGCTGTGTCGTGTGTGCTTTGAGAGGGATTTGGGGTGATTTGGGGGTGATTCCTCCCCCCACCTCCTTCCCCATCTGCTCTGATGCTACTAAACCGCCCGCCGCCGCACGAAGCAGGTCTCTGGTGCCAACAACTCGCTCGTATTACCTTTGTGTGTTTTATTTATTTACTATAAACTGTTATAGGATGGCCATCAGCACCACGTCGGGGTGATGTGTGAAATATATGGCTCTCGGGTTCAGTGCGTCACTCGGAGCCGGGAGTCTGCACGATGTTAATTTTTATTGCCAGAAGTAGCCATAAATTGATAGTTGAGAATTGCTGTAGGGACTGTAATTAACTAGTTACTATTTCACCTCCAAAAGGAGCAATGTTTCACGCTCTTACTTTTACTTATCTGGAATCAGCTGCTGTCAACATCCGCTGAAGCCCGTATAAAGATTTATAGACCTTGGAGGTAAATATTGACTAATGGACAGCTTGGCTTAATGTTCACCTTGAAGGACAATAAATTGTGCTATTGACTGAAGTGAGATGTCAATATCTGCATTGTTGTAAACATTTTAATAAAATTATCTCCATAAAATATTCTCTTTCTTTGACTGGTCCTGGCTAGTGGGATCGGTGCCTGGAAAAATGCAGCAGCAGGGTGTAGCAGGCAGGGAACTTTGGGATTGGTGGTGGGACTTTGAGAATCCAGTGACCAAATCTGTTGTGGACCACTGTTGAAGTGTTTTTGGGCTTTAGAAGTGGAAATGTTGCGGCTCTGGATGTCTGGCCTGGCTCAACTTGATTCGAGGTGCGTGATCACTTGATCCCGTGATACTGAGCCAGGAAAGAAGTTCAGGGAGGGTTTTTGAATGGCTCCACGGGCAGCCTTCAGCCAGGGAAAGCTGTGAGTGGTGTCCTAGAGACCTGAACATGGCTGCAACAGTGAGCCAGGGGACGGTGGCATGTAATTAATTTGGGAACATGTGTTTGCTTTCTGGTGAGTTATTATCTTGTCAGAGGCTCAATGGAAGCGAACGGGCAGGAGGAGTCAGAAGGGAGATGAGTCAGGGTGGGGAAACGAGGAGAAGCAAGGGAAGGAGAAAGGCATGGAGGGAGGAATATGGATGTATAAGATGTCTGCCCACACCTCATCTCATCCAAGCTTTGTGGGACCCCAAGCACAGCTTGGCCACGTGCTGGGTCTGCCCTGGTGCTCTGTGCCAGTCCAGGATCTCACCTCCATCACTCCTCCACTGCCACGACAGCCAAGCTTCCCCTCCCCTGAGGTTTTTTATGGGGATCTGAGGAGCAAGTCCTAAATAGTCCATGCTAGTCTGTGCAAAGGCTCCTGCTCGCTGAGCACAAGGATTCAGGCTCTGTTTTTCCATCTCCCTGGCTCGCACTGGGTTAGTTCATCATCCTCAACTGATGAACAAGGATTATGCTTGTGCCTCGTCCGTGGCTGTTCCATTTCTGGCCTGTATTATATTATTAGTATTAATAATAATAATGATGGGTGCTGGCTGTGCTGGTTTTTTAGCTACTGAGGAGATGAGAGAGCTCTCCATTAATTCCTGCAATATTTCAGCTCCTAATTGTGCTCAAGCAGAGACAACCTTGAAGTTCCCACCATCGGTTCAGGCAGAGCAGGACTGGTACCTCTGGGAGAGCTCCTGGAGCTGCAGGGCTCTGGTCCAGGCCTGCCCTGAGTATCCCCAAGCTCCAGGTGCTTCCAGGGTGCAATCCCACAGAGAAACAGGTTTATGGATCCGATTTTCCTGCAAAGTCCTTCGTGCAGGAGAGCACAGGGGGGACACAGATGGTGTCCTGGCCACCTGGTGTCACCTGCTTCACTGGTGGCCAGGAATTCCTTGTGTCACCTCAGTCTTTGGGATGCTGTAGCTGGCACTAAGGAAGCAGGATCTGACCATAGCCTCTGGATGGCATTCCTAATGCTATTGTAATCTGAGTGTGTGTTATACCAGGTCGTGCACAGGGCAAAAGCAGGTGTCAGCTCCACCTCAGAGTATCCTGGTTTGGTCCAGGGCAGGTTCGGTGTGCCAGTTTTGATGGGCTGCAGCTGAAATCCCACAGATTCCAGACCCTGAGCCCTTGAACTTTGTCCTCTGCCTCTCCATCGGTCGATTACCTTGCAAGCATCTCAGACTTCAGCAGGACACAGGCACAGAGGAAACCTTCATCCCCCAATTTCCTGCGCTTTTGCAGGTGTAAAGCTGACCCTCACAGCTACTTTAATGAAGTCTTTTGCTGGGGAACGAAATGCACTGGAACTGCTTTGCTCCCAGATCAAACCAGGGGCGCACATTACGGCTCGACTGTGGCAAGAGCTAATCCTTGCCGTGTGCGAGGCAGCTCTGGAACTCGGGAAGGGCCTTTGGTTAGTTGGGAAGCAGTGTTATCTGAGCCTTTGCACAGCCCAGAGTCAGATTTGTGCACGGAGCATCTGAAGGCCACCGGCTGTGTCGTTCCTTTATCAGCAGGCAGCGCTGTGCTACAGAGAAGCTGATTCTAGGTCAGCCACAAAAGGGATTTTTTCTTTTCCCCCTCTCTCCTGTTTTTTTTGCGGTGCCTCAGGGCCGCTGGATGTAACGCTGTAATTTGTGTGTCTCCAAAGGATATCGATTTTGGGGTAACGCCTTCATATCTCGCCTTTCAGTTGCTCTAAGTACTGCTGAGCTCAGCGGTTTGGACCGCCAGCCACTTGGGTAGGAATTTCGGCAGGGGGCTGAGGGCGTGGGTGGATGTCAGCAATTCATCAGTGGGAACACTCACTTCACCCCTTTCCAAAGCTCATGGGGCTGCCTTCCCAGTTAGGTCAGCCTGGGGTGGTGGGATGCACACCCTTACGTGCACAGGGTCCTTGGTTTGGCCTCTGAGTGTGCAAGGGAGCAGTGGATGTGCAGAATCCCGGGAATGCTCTGTGGAGGCAGCAGCTGTGAGGTCTGGTGCAGGGAGAGAGAGCCAAGGTGGTATTTCATCATGGCTGAGCATATTTGCACTAGTTTGAGTTGGCAATAGTGGCACCTGGGATTGCAGCAGCAGGATCCCAGCAGGTACCCTGGTGCTCCCTGTGTTGAGCTGTGCCAGGGTGTTACAGGAATGCCATCGGTGCTGGCTCAGGTCCCTACATGCTTTCTGTGGTGAGCGGTCCAGTCTGACCAGGCTGTTCTGTGCCGCGGGAAGAGATGCTCTGGAAGCATCAGCCGGTGGGATGCAGGCGGTGTGTGCCCTTCCAGGAGCCTCCCACGTGTGTCCTTTGCCTGCATTTGTTAGGAGCAAGATGCACACGGTTGACCAGTCAAGCGCAGCGAGTCGTGGCCCATCAGGTCACTCCAGTAGCCGGGTGGGCAGCAAGGGCCGGGCGAGCTCACGGCATCCCCCGGGGACCAGGGACCTGTGCTTGGCCTCTCTGCCATTGGCACTCACTCCCAGAAACAGCTGTCCAGAGCTAATTTATTTCCTAATGCTGCAGCAATGTTAATTTATAAATTACACTGGTAATTCGAGCTATTATTAATTTCAGATGGTGTAGGGCAAGCCTAATTAAAATATGACACCAATTGCCACACATATGTACCAAGGACTACCGTTTAAAATTTATAGGAATATTAAGTGTGACACTGGGCTCAGAGATGCTCCGTGCAGCCATTAGAGCATCCCAGCTGTGGGAGATCCGGTAGGGAGATGTAAACAAAAGGAAGGGAGAAGTTGTTCCCGTTAGGGGTTGCAAAAAGTTGCTTTTGCTGTTCGTTTGGGGGACCAGGGGATCTTGTGCCCCAACACCAGTGTCTGGTCAGCTGAGTGCTGTGGGTTTCCAGGAAAGTGTCAAAACAAAGAGGGCTCCTGTAAGGAATGGGGGCTGAATGATGCCACACTGAAGGAAATGCCACTAATTGCACCTTTCTGGCTTGGAGCGAAAGCAGGAGCTGCACTGCAGGCTGGATGGGGAAGAGGGGGACAAGTGCAGCTCTGACAGAAATGAGCCCAGAGTAGCGCAGGGATGAAGCATTGCAGGTGAAGGGAGATGCTGGCACAAAAACTAATGGGAGTAAACTTGCTGTGAAAATTAGAGAGGGGTGTCTGTGTAAAGCTGGGTGAGCCCAGTGGTGCCTCCCCCTCAGGAGGGACGTGCAAATGCCAAGGAGAGGTGATTTTGCATTGTTCTAGCAGGGTGCAGGTTTGGCAAGGACCACTTTGCCCACTCTGCCCACATTATGGACATTATCTCCAGCAAGTGATACTCCTGGCAGTGCCGGGTCCACAGAACTCCAGTGCTTGCAGACACCATTCTGGTTGGGATTTTCCTGGGATGGAGGGGCACAGGCACGTGGGCACGCCAGGCTGGGACTCACAGGATTGATGTCAGTGCAGAGTGACACAGCCACAGATGGTGACCAGCCGATGGACACGGGTTTGCTGTGCCTCCCCACCACTCACCCCTCTGTCTGTGCCCTGCAGCCGTGGGCTTCATCAGCGAGGACGAGTACCTGGAGATCACGGGCATCACGCGGGAGCAGTCGGGCGAGTACGAGTGCAGCGCCTCCAACGACGTCTCAGCGCCCGTCGTCCAGCGAGTCAAAGTCACCGTCAACTGTGAGTAGCTGGGGGCCAGCAGGGGACAGGGGTGGGGCTGGAGTGTGTCACTGTGCTGCCCCCCCAAGGGAATGGCACTTGGAAGCGAGGCACGCACAGGCTTCGGGTCCCAGAGCGAGACAGGCGGCAGCAGTTTTTCTGAGCAGGTGGTGTTTTGCCCTATTTTCCCCTTCTTTTCAAGCTCCATTTTTTTTCCACCACCTCCTCCTCAGCTGTCTCCATCAACCTGGGTTTTCCGCCCATGGAGAGACGCTGTGCTGATAACCTCCGGGGAGAGAAGTGAGCAGTAAATAGAATTTTTTTTCCTTTAGAAAAAAAAATGAGAGAGAGGCAGAAAGCAGCATATTTCATGCTCAGACAGAGGCGAAGACCCTCCTAAACCCCTCTCTGGTCACCCCGTTAGTGCACATGTGGTGCCTGAGAGCTGGGGAGCTCCTGTTTTTGGAGAAGACCCCCTCACAAGCCCAAAAACTCCTGGACAGCAGCACCAGAGTGGCAGGAGCTGAGCATGGGCTGAGATGATTTGGGCTCCTTCCCACGTGCGGGGAAAGAAAGGAGAACTTGAGGAGCAAGGCGGGGGGATAGGATGCCCCAAGGCTCCGGGGTGTTGACCCCAGGTTTCCCATCTTCCCGCAGACCCACCGTACATCTCGGATGCGAAGAGCAGCGGGGTGCCAGTGGGGCAGAAGGGCATCCTGCTGTGTGAAGCCTCCGCTGTCCCCTCCGCCGACTTCCAGTGGTACAAAGATGACAAGCGGTGAGAGTTTGGGGGACAGACCTGGGGGATGGGGTGGGGCACACACCAACCCTGTGAGAGCTGCACCCAGTGCCAGCAGTTTCCACTCATAGCCCTTGGCACAAGCCTGGTTTGGGTACCAAGCCAGGTCGCCCTCAGGAGCAGCAGGTTGTGCTTGTCCGGGGCAAATCCAGGCATTCCAGCAGGCAGGCTGCATCCACAGCCAGTATCTACTAAAAGCATTCCAGGGCTTTATATTTAACACTGTGAAAAGTAGCTGAGGGACATCTAGGGAGGGGGAATTTTCCAGGAGCCTCTTTCAGCCTCCATCAGGGCAGGATCGCTGCTGCCCCTGCCTCCATTTGAAGGTGTCGTGGTAAATCCCAGCCTGGGTGAAGCATAACAGGGAAGAGGGATATTGGCAGCACAAATCCAAGCACTTAAGAGTGGATGAAACCTCTGTCATCTCTTTAAACACTTTGGCCAGAAGGCAGCTCTCGGAAAGGCAAAAGAAATATGGTGTTGGTTGAGAGACAGGTTTGCTAGGCCCCAGAGACAGCCTGCTCTGCTTTAGGGTGAAAACCACCCTTTTAGATCAACAAGCAGATCCTGTGCTCTGCCAAAGCAACAGCACAGGAATGCAGCAGGGGAATGAGGAGTGAAGCAGCACAGCCCAGGGTAGGGTCTCAATCTGGAGAAAATGCCTCCCTCTGACCCCAGACAGAATGTTTTTAACCAATTTTTGTGTTACTTCTCCCTGGGGAGCCCAGAGGGGAAGTGGCATGGCCAAACACAGGATGAGCCACATCCTTACTGATAAGGAGGGGTGTTTTAGCCAAAAAAGATGCTCCAGAAGCTGGAGGGGAGTCTGGGGCCACCTGCCTTCCCGGGCTGGGGAGGAAAGGAGCCAGAGGAGGAAAGGAGTGTACAAAGAGGAGGATGTTTGTGTGGCAGATGAAAGGCTCTGCTCAGAAGTAGGTCAGATCACGAGGGCCCACAGAGCAGCAGCAGCAGCGGGCTCAGCCCCTGGATAAGTGTCCAGCAGGGACCATAACGGGGATCTGGCACCTCCCATGAGGAATTAGCAAGTAAAAGAGCCACAGGAGCAGAGCAGGATGGGGAAAGGAGCTCAGGGAAGTCCAAGCACTGGATTAATGCTGCAGCATTTGGGCTGGCTGAGAAGCCTCCCCACAGTGGTGGGTGCCCATCATGTCACCCATCAGGGATACGCAGGGAAGAGGAAGAGGAAGGTGCAAGAAGGCATCCTGCAGAGCAGGGAGGGCTGAGGACACCAGAGGGAAGCCAGGCTCTTCTGTAGGGTGGCAATGAGCCTTTCCCAGGTTCTCTGCCTTGGCATGTGAGCATCTCTCCCTCTGCACAGCATTTCCAAGCCCCAGCGCCATCCAGAGTCCTCTGGTGCCTCTGGTCAGCGTGGGGATAGTGTGGGCTGGCAGCTGGAGACCCAGCAGAGCAGAATCCATCTCCCATATCCCTCCCAATACCTTCCCTTCTCCCTCTTCTCCCAAGCTCAGTGTCCCCTCTCCCAGGCACAACCAGGGCCATGGAAAATCGCAGGCACCTCTCCTCCTGACACCATTCCAGTGACCTTCTCCCATTCTGCTTTTCTCCCAGGCTGGCTGAAGGACAGAAAGGGCTGAAAGTGGAGAACAAAGCCTTCTTCTCCAGACTGACTTTCTTCAACGTCTCTGAGCAGGACTATGGGAACTACACCTGTGTAGCCTCCAACCAGTTAGGGAACACCAATGCCAGCATGATCCTCTATGGTGAGTGGGGCTGAGGGAGCCACACAGGGAGGGGGAATGACTTAACAGTGAGATCACTGATGGGAGAGAGGTGGAAAGGCTCTCCCTTGTCTTTTGGGGGAGATGTGCATTTGCTGCTGATCCTTCTTAGCCTAGTGCATGGGCTGGAGGACATGGTGAGCTCAGGGAAATTGGGGAGCTTCCAAACCTGCCTCCTGATTCATGTACCATGTCAGTCACTGTTCACAGGTGTCTGGGATCCACCATCGATGCAAAGTTAGGATTTGGTTGTAGGTTTCCATTTTATTGCTCTGATAAGTCCTTGGGAAAGCCTCTGGGTGAAGGCATCCTCTGGTGCTGATAAGTGGGAGGAGATGGTTTTCGGGGTCACTGCTGTCCCATTCCCACCCAAGAATGAATAGACCCCTGTCTCTGTCACCTTTCAGGCTGTGTTTTCCCTCCTGCCAAGGAGATATATTATTGATGGTGCCAGAGGGAGATGGGAAGGTGCAGAGGGCAGGGAGGGGGACTAGGTTTGTACCCTTGTCCCAGGACTGTTTTCCCTGCATGGCAGAACTGGGATCAAAGCTGGGATCCTTCTGACACTGCTCATGGCTGGGAAGGTCTATGCTCCCCAGATCCCTCTCATGGCCACTGGGAGTCAGAAATGGATGACAGATCTCATCCCTGGGCACTGCATGGGGGTATTTCCCTGCTGGAGATATGTGGTTTGTGTTTCTCACAGCTGAAGCATATGGGAGAAGTGGGGAGTGGGGACCTCCATCCTCTCCTGATGTCACCCCAGCACTGTCCTCCTCCGCCACCCAGCTGTTCTGCCTTGTCACCTCCTTGCCTCTCATTGTGGTGTGGTTGGAGGGGAGCAGAGCAGAGGACCAGATCCATTTTCCTCATCCCCAGGCCCCTCAGGGGTGGCTCAGGGCAGGCTGTGCTCTTATCCATGCAAAGCACACCGGGACAGTGAGTCCCAGAGTACGTGTTGGAATGTTGAGTGTGCCAGAGCAGTGGAGCATGGGAGGCACAGGGAGACCCCGGGAAGTGATGTCTGTGTCTCACCATCCTTGGGGAGGGGCTGGATGTGGTCCAGGGCAGCAGTTTGTTTAAGGAGAGTAGAGGATGCTGGGCTTTGCCAGGGGCCACACCCAGCTGTGGGTTCGGGGTGGCATCACAGGACAGGCTTGTCCTCCCCTGCCACGGTATTGGCACCTGTGTCAGGTTCCCCTGAGTTGTGACAGAGGAGTCCATCCCATCCTGGATGCTCAGCTCCGTGCCCACAGCCCTGATGCAGAGTTAACCTTGGATATTAATGAGCCTTAAACACCCATTTGCTCCCCCCAAAACATCCCTGCTGTACGTGATGAACATTTACCTGTGCTAAACCATCATTAGTGTTACTTAGGAACTATCTCCACTCTCCTCCCCACCAGCCTTCCTGGTGATCCAATAACCCTGTGTTTTAGGGATACCAACACTCCTGGCACTGCAGACCACCCAGGCCTGGCTTCATCTGTTCTGCACGCACAGGGTGGACGTGCTGGGTGCCCAACGTAACCTGAGCCACACGTACATCCTCAGCTGTGATGTTGTAGGCTTCCTTTGGGTTTGTGAGGTTAAAATCTTAATTAGCAGGGGCCTTTATTTGGCATCTGCAGATCCAGGCTCGATGAATAGCCCAAAAGTACAGATGACATCTGCCTGCTGATGAGTTCTTAGCTCTTTGGTTTCTAACCTGTCAGCAATGGCTTGTGGGACTCGTGCTGTGAGTGCAGTGCCAGGTGGGAGGCAGGGAAGAATCCCACAGAAGTCTAGGCTTGTTTTATGACCTCCTTAGCTTTGTTGGTCTGACTGTGAATCCCATCAGGGAATGAAATCAGAGTCCTTTGAGCACCCTTAATTTCCATAAAACCACATCGATTGGGTGATCTGTTCAGTCTTTATTAATGGAGTGCCCTTGGGGGGGTGACAGCTCCCTGAGGGGACCATGACATGCAGGGGTCCCCCATCTCCTGGTGCAGGGACCCCCAGCACCCCCAGGAACGACCCTCCCCTAATTATCAGAGATGTGGTGTCCCCATGTGTCACCTGTCCCTAAGGAATCAGTGCCCTCAGTCTGGGGAATAATGTCTTTATTTATTGAGATGGAAGATAAGAGGGAAGTGGGTGTGATGGCTGCACTACCTGCAGCACGAGAAATCTCTCTTCTGTAAGGTTCTGGGGGGACAGTTTTGTGAGTGTTCCCTTTTCCCTGAAGCTGAGGGAGTGTTTTGAAGTTTTTTTTGCCCCCAAATGGAGTTTTAATCCATGCAGGTACCGTGACAGGAACCTTTTTGGGGCTGTGCAAGAGGCTAATGTAGCGTTCATCTTTTAATCCTTTTTTTAATCTAATTTTTCAGGGAGGTCAACTAGTGCTTTATTTAACATGTAGCACTCGTTATTACAGACCTGCCGCCTCATTCAGCGGCTCATTTGGTGCTGTCTGGGATGTGATGGAGTGTTCAGGGAAACTGCTTCGTTCTGTGGAGCTGGGGAAAAAACCAAGCCCTCTGCCTCTCCTCCTGTCACTCCCAGAGGCTGCTGTCAGGCGATAAATCCATTTGGGATGTTGCAGGGTTATTGAGAGGGATGGGCCCCAAACCTGCAGGGGAGAGCTGAACCCCCTGCATCCCCCAAATCCCAGCCCCTGTGCTTTGCTTTTTGCTCAGGGTGCAACCACAGACTTTGCTGGGTCTGAGGTCCCTTATTTGGCTCATTTCAGCTTCCCCCCCCCAGACAGGGGGACCGTGGCCTCAGAGCACTGGGGTGTGATTTGGGCAGCACATCCCACTTGCTACCCCATCCACTCGTTTTCCCAGCCCCAGGTCGAGGGCAGGCTGAGGGAGGCATCTCGAGCCTGCACTTTCCATTGCCCTTTTGCCTTAACTTTCACTTGTTCTTTAATTTTTAGAAGAGACAACTACCGCTCTGACACCCTGGAAAGGTCAGTAATTTGGGGACCCCTGCAATGCCAGTGCTTCCCCCAGTGTTTCCCCTGGGCCCCTCCGGCTCCCACCCCAGCTCATCTCAGCGGGAGCCGCAGCACCAGCCTGCCCCACAACCCCACTGCTCTCACTGGTGTAGGGATGAATTAGGGCTTTTTTAGCTGCCCTCCCATCCTGCCCCCTCCCTGCCAGCCTACTGTGCCTGTCTGGTGGTGGTCTGTGCCCTCTGCATGCCTGCCCCATCCCGCAGTCTCCTGCTCCCTCTCCATCGCCAGGGCAAAAGCAGGAATGTCTCTGTGCTCAGCTTTCCAGTGTTGCTGCCTAAGTGGGTCTTCTGGCAGATCCTTCCTCCTCTGGGATGCTCCTAGTACCTTTTTTCCAGGATGTGGTAGGGGTAGACAGGCATTAGGTCCCCTTCCTGGTGTTATTCCTGGTTGGGGCAGCCAGCACTCAGCTGGGCAATCTTATTGTCCGGCCAACTGACCTGGTGTCATCTTGATTTTGGGGTGGCTTCAGTTGTGGTGCACTGAGTAGGTCAACCCCCAGGATGACTTGTAGATGTCAGGAGGGCTGTGGAGGTAGTGCATAAGACCTGCATTTGGTGCCTGAATTTGAGAGGTGTGAGGTGTCTGAGCGTGCTGGAGAGTGGGAGACCAAATGGTTAGTGGTGCTCAGTGCCCTGGTTGGACTTTGAAGTGAGGGAACATGTCCTGGGGTTTCAAGAGCATGTGCGGGTCAGATCTTGTGGGCAGCCCTGCTCTGGCAGGACACCAGCCTGGATGCCTTCCTGAGTTCTTTTCCCAGCCTAGTCTTCCCCCGGGCCAACTATTTGGGATGTTTTGGTGAAAGCCACTGGGTCAGACACCCTCCACATCCTTTCCTATGTTGAGCTCTGAACTCCTCACCCCCAGTGATCCCAAAAGGCATGGAAGAGCTTGGCTCTTCTTGACCACCCTCCTCATCCCCTCTCATTCTTCTTGAGATGGTCTGGGCCCGTGATGAGCCTCACAGAGACTCTGGAGGGGCACAAAACCCCAAGTCCTCAATACAGGGCTGCTGGTGGTGTCTCTGCTGGGTGGGCAGGTGGTTACTGTGCCCTCCCAAAGGACACAAGTGGGGAACAGGGTGGTCACCCTGGGCTGGGCAGAGTGTGTTGGGCAAAAGCTGTCATCTCCCCTCTAAGTGTGGCTGGAAACATGGACAAATTCGGAAGGGGCTGAGGGAGGTTGGATGGTGGTGATGCACAGGGGGATGGGCTTGGGATGGGGACTTAGGGATGAGAAGTGAGTCTTGTCCCAAAGGCCGGGGTCGGTGGGGATGGGGACGGTTGTTGCCGTGCTCTTGAGGACAGCACAGGTGGAAGGCGATGCCTGCAGAGCAATCCCACCACGTGCAACACCGCCCAAATACCGTCCTTCGGTTGGTTTTGCGATTTATTTCACGTTTCACAACTTTCTTATCGACTCTGTTGAGTGACCATGCGGGCGTTTCTCTCCCTCGCTCAGGCCCCGGCGCGGTGCACGACGGGAACAACGGCGCGTGGCGACGAGGAGGCTGCGCGTGGCTCCTGCTCCTCCCGCTCGCCCAACTCGCCCGCCAGTTTTGACCCGAGAGCCGGCCCGCGGAGTAGCGGCGGCGACGACCACGGCCAGCGAGAGAGCAAGCAGAAAGGAGAGGAAGAAGAAGAAGAAAAAGAAGAAGAAGAAGTGTTCACCGTTTCCGAAAATAATCATAAGAATTGAGAGAGTATCCGGCCAGGCCACCTGGGGGAGGGGGAGAGAGGAAAAAAAAACACGTGCAAAAAAAAAAAAAAAAAAAAAAAAAAAGGGAAAAAAAACCACAACGGGGAATACTTATCCAGAAGAGTAATTAAACAGGACAAGGAT